TGTTTATTTATTACAAAATCTTATCAATAATATGTTCATTTTCTATTAATGCAAACATAAACTTACTCAACGATATAAAAATCATTCTAATTTTATATATTTGTGTAAATAGTAAATATTGGTAAAATATGTTTAATTATATTAATTTCCATTGAATCGAAATGTCACTCGGTATAATATACAATACTAATAAAGTTCATTGTTAAATACGAGGAAAAAATACTTGTGATGACAACGATCCATAATTGTTCAAAAAAAATAACAAATGATATTTTAATGAGAGTAAAAAGCATTTTTGAATAATTATTAATACAACATATAGAAGAAAAAAATCACTACGACACTACATTAATGAATGAATCAGAAAGACCTTGGTTGTCATACTTCAGTTGGTTCAAAACGATAGATGTCACTTATTATTTTATTTTAATTTTTTTATTGAAAGTTTTTAAAATATTTTGTTTTATTGTTAATGACATTTAAAAACATGTTCCTTGAATAGATCAGTTCACGAAAAAACAAGTGATCTTTTTTTGACACATTAAATTTTAACGAATGAAACATGTTACATATAGAAATTCGGTACTACTGCAGTTTAGTCACACTTTCGCCCTCACTCACGCACTGATTGTTGTGTTCAGTGTACGAATCAGTGTAAGGGTGTGACTAAACTGCAGAAGAACCCGCTCTATTTTTGGTCTGTTCGGGGCCTAAAGTAAAGAAATGTTTTTCTTTCTTTCAATTAAAAGAGAAATTCTATGTCAATATTCATATATTCGCTCTTTAGTTTTCATTTATTTGAAATTAATTGTGTGAGACATTCCGCCATGAATGAATAAATGAAAGCTTGTATAGAACTAGGCAATAAACAGTTACATTTTATATATAATATCTGATCAAATAAAAGGTGTACCCCGTGTGTTTTTTTTACATTTAGTTGCTTGTGTCGTGAGCATCAGATCATGTATGAATGAAATAAAGTCTTATTTTTTCTCATGATTTTTATCAATTAGCCAGCGTATAATAAATATGATACTTTAAGTATTTCCGAACATATTATATATCATATAATACAACCGATATTATTTCTTGTATCGAAAAACTTAGGAGAAATATCTGAACATATGAAAAGTTTTCTATAACATTTCTATCGTTTAATACTAGTCTACAGTAGTTGGATAGAAGTATATTTATTATTTTATAGACTTTGAAATCAAAAACAAAATCGAGACATAGTGTTTATTTCTTTACGTCATCCATAGGTCAATATGGCATTGGTTAGCAATGAAAGAACTCTTGTTTATATAATAATTTTATAATTCTATTTGATTTTATTTTTCGAGCTTATTTTAATCATGCATGATATCATAATTATTTTTATGATATGTAAGAGCAAGTTTCGTTTCGTTTCTTTTTCTTTTTCGTTCTTTTTATGGACAATACTTTCATCTTTACTTTGTTCTTCTTCTTCCCCATGCTCTATAGTCCATATAGGGTAAACGAGAAGAAAAAATAAAAGGCATTTACTTTCACTTTATTCGCCGGTTTTTGTTTTAATTTTATTCAGAACAGAATATATCGATTCTGTCTTTATTTTGTTTTGTTATAGACAATTCACCTTTGAACCTAAATCTTCATTATTTATTTATCAGCGTAAGGCTTCTTTTTTGAATAAATTCGTTTTTAGCTTAATGACACTATTGTAGTATGGCTCAATATTTATCTGCTGACAGAGAAAAAGAATTGGTCGAAACTGCTAATCATCTTATGACCAAAGGCAAAGGTTTATTAGCAGCTGATGAATCGACTGGTAAAACAAAATATTAAACTTGAATAAGGTTTTTTTTTGTTTTTATTGTCTTGTTTAATATTTAGGCTCAATGGCTAAACGTTTACAATCCATTGGTCTTGAAAATCATGAAGAAAATCGTCGTTTATATCGTGAAACACTTTTTACTGGTTCAAAAGATCTTGCTAATCATATATCCGGTGTTATTTTTTTTCATGAAACATTCTATCAAAATGATGATAATGGAAAACCATTTCGACAAACATTACAAGAAAAAGATATTATTCCCGGTATTAAAGTTGATAAAGGTCTTGTACCATTGGCTGGTACCAATGGTGAAAATACAACACAAGGTCTTGATGGTCTTAGTGAACGATGTGCACAATATTATAAAGATGGCGCACGTTTTGCTAAATGGCGTATGTATCGAAATTGATCTTTAACCTTAAAAAAAAAAAAAAAACTCTTTTTTTATTTAGGATGTGCATTAAAAATTGGTGATGGTTTACCATCAGAATTAGGCATGCGTGAAACAGCAAATGTTTTAGCACGTTATGCATCAATTTGTCAACAAGTAATATTGTAACTTCTTTGGTTTTTTTTTTAATGAATAATATAATTATACGTACATTGTCTTTTTTTATTTAGAATGGTCTTGTACCAATTGTTGAACCAGAAGTAAGTAAAAGTATTTGGATACGTAGAAAGTTTTTGTTTTTATTTAGATATTACCAGAAGGTGATCATGACTTAGATACATGTCAACGTGTAACAGAAAAAGTATTAGCTGCAACATATAAAGCACTTAGTGAACATCATATTTTCTTGGAAGGTACACTACTTAAACCAAATATGGTCACTGCTGGTATGTAAAAATTTTTTTATTGATTACAGTAAAAGAAAAAATCTTTTTTTTTTTTTTCGTTTATTTAGGTTTTGATTGTAAGAAAAAATATACACCAAAAGATGTTGCTCGAGCAACAGTAACAGCATTACAAAGAACAGTACCAGTTGCTGTACCCGGCATTTGCTTTCTTTCTGGTTCGATCCAATTTTGAATTAGGATAGTTTGCAAAAAAAAAAAAAAAAAATTTTTTTTTTTAGGCGGACAATCAGAAGAAGAAGCTTCACTTAATTTAAATGCTATTAATCAATATAAAGGCAAGAAACCATGGGCATTAACATTCAGTTATGGACGTGCACTTCAAGCAAGTGTTCTTAGTACATGGGCTGGTAAAAAAGAAAATGTATCTAGTGCACAAGATCAACTTCTCAAACGTGCACAAGTAAAAATAAAACCATGTCTTTATTACAGTTCGTTGTTTTTTTTATTTAGGCTAATGGTGCTGCTGCAAAAGGTGAATATAAAGGTGGTGCTGGTGGTGCAGCTGGTGATCAATCATTATTCGAAGCTAATCGAAACTATTAAGACTAAAATATTCCATTGATTAAGATAGTATATATATATATATATGTTTCGCTATTAAAATCTATTATTTTCTCTGTATTTATTTTATTTAATCTTCTGTCAGTTTTTTAAAGATAAGATCTTCAAAAGAGAGAAAAAAAAGCATCAGTCGACATATTTATATTATCTATCTAGTTAGTTACTCATTGTTCTTTTAAAATTTTGAATGGTATATCTTGTCCATAGAAATATATCAAAAAAAAAAAAGTAAATAGTTTATTTTAATAATTAAACTTTATATGGGCATGGCCAGCTAACGGTCATCTTCGTTGTCGAAAGTTCGAAGTCGAAAACTTTGAATACAAAAAGGTATTACTCGAAAGACAATAGTAAACAGTTTACAAAACAGATATAATTAATAACCCAGCACTTCAACTCTCACAAGGGAACCTTCCCAGGTGCCAGAGCGCTTTTCAGCCGGAGTTTTGCGCATCTTGTAGCCCATAGTGAGCTATGTCTGTGGTAAAAAAAGTTCGTCCCCTGGCTTGTTTCTGACGAGATATCGAGTTTTTAGTGTCTTTTTTCTATAGCACCCCACTTTTGCAGCAAAGCTATATTTTTGAATTTTGATCTGAAACCTGTCCCACATAAAGGCCACAGCTAGACTAGCTTGCATAAAAATTTTCAGAAGTTTCCGACAACGTCTCTCCGAGATANGCTAAAATTGCATGAATCAATAGAGGAATTGTTGTTCTATCGAACTTTATATTAATGGAAAAGATTGATATAGCTAGACAACGATAGTTTACTCGACAAAGACAAATAATTGAACTTTTATCAAAAAAATTTGTTAAATATTCACTAAATTTTTGGTCAAAGTAGAAAATCAATTGACAAAAGAAATATAGTTCGACAGAGAAATGAATTCTCTATCTAACTATATACAAATGAAATATATTCATATGTCCAATACGTTATAATTACTCGAAGAAAACATACCGAAATTTCACAAAAAAAAAAATTTTTTTTTGTCTGCTTCACGAAACTTACTGATTTTTTAACCAACACATGATATAAATCAAATGAAAACTATACTGTTGGATAGAGTAATCAACGCTCTATCTAATTATATAGAAATAAAAAATTTCTGATGTTTGTAGAAATACAATAAACTGAAGAAAACTACTAAATATAAGTGAATCATCCTATATAGATATCTTTCGATTGAAAATAGTGAGGTAACAAATTTTTTTTAAACATTTTATTTATCAGTTAGTCTTATGAAAATTATTAATAATAGGTACAAAACTTTATTTTTTTGTAGATGATTTAGCAAAAGTTGAATAAACAACATTCATTTAGTTTGTTAATTTTAAGCAACAAGAAAAACATGATAACTTGTATATGATGAAACAATCATTTATGAAATATGCATAAAAAATACTTCAAGATTTTATCTTTTGCTTTCCTCTATTATGATGACAGAAAGCCGATGTTATAAAGTAAAGAACGTAGTATTTATCCTTGCATGACATTCACATTTATGGTGTATGATTCAAAAATATATATATGATGACGTATAGAATAAAACTTTGTTTCTATCATTTACCAATTATCAAATAATAACATTAATCATTGAAATTATTCTCTAATTATAAAAATAATACTTGGCATTCATCAGGGTAGAAAGAAAATGATCAAATGTATATCACGTAAAACATAGCCTTACTGAAAAATTTATAAATATTTTTTTATGTAAAACTTCGAATGTAATTTTTTCACTTCTGACTATTTTTTATTAGGACTATTTAAGTACCTGACAGTTGAAAGAAAACCATCCCTTTACATTTGGAAATTCTTTTAGTAATTCAGCAAGTGCTTCAGCTTCTTTTTTTGATGGTATTGTTTCAAAAGCAATTAAATCAGGCTCAGCACGAGTTAATATTGCCAATCGAGGTCGATGCCAATCTTTGAATTGCTACAGAAAAAAAATCAATAATTAAATAGAATATCAAAAGAAAAAAAACAACAAGAGAATAAATCAAAATGAAATACTTCGATTGTCATCGAATCTGTATACCATCCATTGAATTCACTACCATCATTTAACGCAGCTCCATAAGGACCGACTGAAGCTGCTACAAAACATTTTGCTTTTTCCTCATCTATATTCGAATAAATTAAAAATTTCATTTTTAATTATAGTTTTACAATCAAACTGACCAATAACATTTCGAGCAATTTTCACTGAATTATAGATAACTTCTTCTGCTTGTTCATTAGATAAATGATGATGATTCATTAAATTTTCAACTGAAACTTGATATGTAGCAGTTAAAATAAAATCACATTTAGCTTGAACAAAACTAAATTTTGATCTATTTAGTATTCGTAATATAGTAATATATGTTATCTTTACGCTCGATGTGCTTTTGCAAGTTGTTCCGGTTCTTTTACTAATGCTTTTCCAGACCTTATAGCAAAGAAAAACGGAAAACAATTATATATAAATACATCAAAGAAAATTTCTATTAGAATTATTAACCATAAAGGATCATCAAGTACGGCCAGTCCATATTCATGTAATGTTGTGCCAAGACCACCATCAATTAATATTACTTTATTATATTTTTGAGAGAAACTCATCTAAAAATATTTATTTATGATTTGTATTTTTACCGCTTGATTTTTCATTTATCATTTAAAGAGAAAAAAAAAAAAGAAAATATTGAGACTTTTTTGTGTTTCAAATAAATTTACTTTTTTTTTCACATCTTTTCTGTTTTTCTCTTACTTCTTTTCATCTCAACAAACGAAGACCCATAATTTTAATATATAAGAAAAAGGAGAAAGTGAAAAAAAAATCATTACAATAAAGCAATCGTTACTCTGATGTTTCACAATGATGTACAAACACAACCCAATAACAATTCGAAACGGAATACTAATGAGCATCCAATTAATCGAATACTTACAGCTTATTTTAATACTAATAAACAGATAGGAAATTCTCAGTCAAGTACTCGATCAAACAATTACAAATCAGAAACAAGTCATATTATTCAACGTCAACGAGTTATACGTTCGTTTTTAAATAAAACAGATGAAACTGAAGTAGGTAAACAATACAGTGACTTATCTAAGAAAGAACAAATCATTTCATCATCTATTTTCTCACATATTTTCGATTGTCGGAGTACTTGTTTACACTATATTATCAATAAAAAGTTTCTTTGAAAAATTCAAATATTTAACAATTAATAGTTAAATAATTGACAAGAAACTAATCAAAGATCTGCTGCTCAACTCGTCTCTGTATGAACTGCGAATACTAACATTCTCCTTGGTAGATGTTTAGTTATATTTCAGTACATATGTAAAGTATTGGTTAGTAGTACCAGTGAGGTTATTATACTTGAAGAGAAACTCTTACGTTAGTCTTGAGAAGCGAACTTCTTTCGATTGACACATCGTTAATCTTTGTCACGACTGACGAGGTAAACTCTTCAACTACTCTATTTCGATTTCAATGATTTTTTTTCCCTATAGTTACTTATTAGTGTTTTAATAAAAACTCTAAAATGATTTAGGTTTCTTTTTAAAATTTGATTAAAGTAGTGAATTTTCAATATGCCTATTTTCTAGAGTTCCCAGATTTTCGAAGCATTCGTGTTTTTAAATTTTGATCTGAAACTTTATGCATATAGAGAATTTAGGCCACACTAACTTCTATAAAACAATTCAGAAGTTTTGAACAAAATTTCTTTGATATATGAAGCCTTCAAAAAAATCTTGTTATATACACACTCCCATGGACAAAAACAAGTGTCTTTTTCAATTGGCTCTTTTTTCCTTTCTCTTGTGGTATTATTTACAGATATACATGTCATTATATATATATAATACAGTCATCCACCTTTATATGTCATTTCATGTCTTTTTACGTGTTATTTTGTAATTTATGTCAAAACGACCCATTTTTGTACTATTGAGAGAGGACAAACAGTAATACAAAGAAAAATATCTTGTTTACCAATTTTCAGTTTTTCGAATAAAGGTACTTCTGAACTTGTCTTTTTTGAAAGTTAATTATTTTCTACAGGTGATAAACTTCGCAAATGGCTACCCGCTCTATTGTCAATAATCGATGAAGACGTAGCTCTAATCTGAAGCAGCAATCGTACTCAAAGTTCTTCTCACTCAAATATTCGAACTTTGTATACATACAGCAGCTGCCCCGTTATTATGATATACAATAATGTCATGTGCAAGGAGTATGTGTTTGATGTTATATGTGTGAATAGCTTTAGTGACATTATTGTTTCGGTTTGGAGCTACACCTTCATTGATTATTGATAATAGAACAGGTGACTATTCTTGAAACTTTACGGCTACAGAAAACAATCGACTTTTAAAAAGAGACACGTTTAGGAATATGTTCACTGTAAAATTGAAATAAATACAAAATAAAATATAATATGTACATATATAAATGTGGTTGACTCTGTTATTCATATAATGACAGGCGCAGGTGTATATAATACTTCAAGAGAAAAGGAAAAAGAATCAATTGAAAAAGAAACTTATTTCTGTTCATGAGAAACTATCCTTGGAAAATGGTCTGTATCTTGAACGTTTCATGTCTCGAAGAGAATTTGCTCAAAATTTCTGAATTGTTTTATTGAATGTAGTTTGGTTGACTTCCCTATTTGCGCAAAGTTTCAGATCAAAATTCGCTAATACGAAGTTTTCGAAAAATCTAAGGCATCTAGAAAAGAGCCATATCGAAAATTTGCTAGCTTGATCTAATCTCCATAGAAATCCAAATTCTTTTGGAATTTTTATTAGAACACTATGTAGTATCTATAGGCAAAAAAAAAAATCATTGAAATTCAACGACCATAATTGAAAAGAGACTAACGTGAATCGATATATGGCTCACATTTATACAGATCGAAAAGAGACAATCTCTTTTATTTCGACATTTTCTCCGACATTATCTTTTCTATTTAATAAAAGTATAGGATTTCTTTTTTTTTTTCTTGTTCAAACTTCTCAGATTTCTAATCGAATCATTTCAGTCATCTCTTCAAAAACCAACAACATTTGGTACTAAATTCAAAGTATCACCAACATCTATTTCATCTCCACATTTATTATTTAATGAATTAAATGAACAATCAACAAATAATAATAATAATCGTTTACAAACAATAAAAAAAGAACTTGACCGACAATCACCGATATTAATTCGTAATAATCGTCCTAGCGCTGGATATTCTTCTCCTTTTCAACTAAGGTCAGATGTAGCGAATGTTTCTGGACATAATCTACCGTTAGCAATTTCACCAAATTTTACATTTCGAAATAAAGTATCACAAGCATATCTATCGGATAGATCATCACTTAATAAAAATGATCGCATAGCTACACCACATATAAAACCAATAACTTATTCTAAAACAATTAGTGAAAATACACTTAAACAAAATTCATTAAATTCAACATTAATTCATCAAAATAATTTTCTTTCAATGCATAAATGGACACCAAAATTAACAGAACAAGAACCTATTCATAATCGAGCATTAAATAGTATATTACATCCAAAATCACATTTATCAAGATATTTTTTAAAACGTCATTATCATTCATTACAATCTGAAAGAATAAATACTAATACAAAAATAAATAATATTCAAGATTTATTTATTTCAACACGATCATTAAATAATCCACATCATGAATTAGAAATGAATAAAAAAACACGTCGAAAAAAATTAATTACTGATGAATGTAAGTTTAATAATAATTCAAAAAGAATATTTTTAGATTTTTATTAGTTTCTCACATTACATTTTTCATGTATTATAAATGACAGAAATTAAAAATACAGAAAACATTAAAAAAAAATTTTTTTCTATTTAAAGTTGAAAAAATATAAATTGAATGTAATCCTTTTTTTTTTCACAAGAGTAAATAAGTTACTTTGCTTTTTGGCTATATCAAGATTTTAGCCATTCAAATATATTACGTTACAATTTCCAAGTTTTTTAGATCCGAACAATTCTAATCATAATAAATCTATTAGATATTATATCGTAAGTTCTATCAGTTAACATATTCAAACATGAGAAGATTTACTTTCACAAACATTGGAAACAATATCAATAATGTAACAATTTTAGATATCAAGAATCACCTCATGACATTAGTTGAATATGTATGCTCCTCACAGACCGTGCAAGACATTATTGATATTCGATTAAAGATCGTATGTTAATTACGTCTCGTTCTGATATATGAACTACTTCATTGTTGGCTTTCTGAAAGATTAAGTAGAAAGATGATGAAGGCACGTGTCTGAAGCCAATCTGGCTATGATTAGCTAGAGTACCTACATCGTGTTTCACATTTTAATCATACAGGAATTATGCTAACAGCTTTATGATCTTATCTACAATGTAATAAAAGATCCTTAGTAAAGTTGTCCTTCGAAAATAATCGAATTTAAGATTTTCGAAAGTTACGCATACGTGACTTTTTAACATATTATCATAATTTTTTTCTTCACAGGGGAAGATTCTAAATGGAGCCATAGTGGTGTGTCCGATGAAGATGAATCGATCAGTGCTGATGGAAATAGTTCAACATCAACATGTCCATCTCAAGCTAGTGCTCAACAATATGATCATATATCATCTACAATTGCTGCTGTATCTGATCAATATGAAATGTTCTTATCTCCTAATTCATCTGTTGATAGTTCAAAATCAAAATCTCAACATTCACCAACCAAAAGAAGTATATTACGACGGCGTACATATAATATTGCTCTACCACCTGTAGCTGAACATGATAATGACGAAGAAGCAGGTGATGAATTTTATTAACTAAGTTTCATACATTTTTTTTTTGTTTTTTTGTTTTTCATTTTTTTGATTTCTTTTCCTATTCAAAAAAAAACAAAAATAGAATCTAATAATAATATTCATACAGATAATATGAAGAAAATACTTGAAAAAATGTATGCTCTACAAAACAATGATTTCAATGAAAAAAAATTCGAACGATCAACTGATGATGAACATAGCATAACATTTCAGTTATTAAATCAACAAGAAACAGAATTTGAAAAAAAATTATCGAAATTCAAACAAAGACGAATTTAAATCAAAACAATATTTATATAATTTTTTTTATATTTCTTTCTTTTTTGTTTTCTTCTGATCAAATATATATATATATATATACACACATAAGTATGCAACTGAATTTCTTTCACAAAACTTGTTTTTTCCTTTTTCCTTTTTTTTTTTTCTTCTTTTTATAAATCTCAAAACAGAAATAAATGTTTCTTATATTGATATATTGTTTTTGTATTTTGTTCTAAATCAAACATTCCCAAAGAAAATAAGTAATTCTTTGTGTAAATGTTTGTATAAATGTTGTAGAATCGATATCATTTCGATGTTTGACTAAATAAGATTTCTTTAGAAAAAAATAAAATAAAAAATTTCAATAAATTCAAATAAATGTTTTATTTAACTTACAAGAAGATTTTGATCCGATCGATAAATAAGAACAAGGAATGCATCGCATTGATGTGGACCTTTACATTGAAAGATGACCTTAAAATAAATTATATTTATTATATGGATGGTTTTATTTATAGGACGCAAGATGCTCGAAAGTTCATAATAAACAAAGCTAAGTATGAATAAGTGAAAGGAAAATTATTGTTTGTTGCATCGATACATGTATTTTGTTCTCTTTACAAAGTGTTATTGGCCCTTATTTTTTGAAGTGTTCTAAGAGAAAACTATGGACCCTACGAGGTAATCTTCATGTTTATCTACTTGATTTCGCATTTTAATTAGAGATTTCGAGATAAGCTTTTATCTTACCTTGTATCCTAGACGCCGAGGGAACGCTTTCAACTAATCAATTGCTTTCTCATCAAAACCTAGTGGATTGTAGGTTATCGGCTATATGAGTTTCGAATGTGATGATGAGAAATCTTCTTAGGTCTTCATGTACTGGTTTTATAGAAGATCGGTTTTTTCAAACTATCAAACTCTATGCTAAAATTTTCCTATTGATCAGTTCAAATTATAAAGCATATCGAATTACTTAGGCAATAGTAATCTTTTTAAATTTTAAATCTTTTTTTTTTTGCAGAAAATAGAGTCATTTTAATTTATGCAAGAGATACGCATCAACGTTTTAATGTAAAAATCTTCAAGATGATTCTATTGAACTAGAAATTTATTTTTGGGTAACAGAAAAGATAAATATACTTTATAATCTGAGTACATTATAAAACAATTTTGTCAAAATAGTTGTTAGTCTGGAAAACTGATTTTTCCAGAAGATCAGCATTTAAAGATCTAAGAAGATTTCTTATGATCATACTTGTGAGAGAAGTTTTCTAACCTTTACTCTACCCCCTACCTTGCAGTGTAGAGTAATTTTGCAATGTCTAATTTATACTGCAATTTGTTACTAAACGCAAAAATTAATGGAAAAGTTCAGTCATAGAAGACATTGTACAATACAATGTTTAGTCAATTTATTTATTATATGGAACAAATGATTATCGAGTATTTCATATTTTTAATATAACAAGAATTCTCGTTATAGAGTGATGAGTGATAATTAGAAATATGGATTCAAAAAGCACAAGTTTATTAGGAGCCCGACGGTAAATTCACTAAAACTACTTTGATACAGTATTTTTATTTCTCAAATAATAAGTTTGAAGATTGAAAAATAATTGAAAACTAATAAATGATTTTAATTTCCTTTCGAATTAAGAAAAATACAGAAGTTGAAGTTTCTTCTCATGTAACATGCGCACATTACTTTCTATTTGCTAAAGAAAAATAGAAAACCTAAACTTTTTCGTTTGTTTTACACCTAGTAGAATTTACCATTATTCATAAACATCGAAAAAAATATTCGCCTTGTCTTAAAATGATTTTCAATAAATTAAAAAAACAATTCTTCTCTCACTAGATAATGAACTGTTGATGAATTAATCGTATGAAATTGTGAACCATATCGTGAGCGTAAAAATCGATGCAATCGTTCGGCTTGTTCTTTATTAGTAAATACTCGTTGTAATAATGAAGTCACAGTTTTTAATTCGATTGTTTCATCACCAATACACGAATCCAATAATGCTTGAAATTCATTTATATGTATTGATATTACCTAACAAAAAAAAAAAAGATAAAAATAAAATATTTTAAAAATAATAAATCACTTCTTGACGTCCAGCTGTCGAACTGTCAGATCGAGAAGCAATTAATTTTTCCCATAAACTTTCACGACGATGTGATAATGATGCTTTATTTAATATAGATGTTAATTTTGATCTAAACGTAAGTTTTTTTTTTTTTAAATGCATTGTTTTTTATCTTTTATTTTTTTTGTTTTTCTTACTTAAAAAATTCAACATTTCGTTCAATGGGAATATTATTACCAGTATTTTGTTCGGAACCAAATGAACTTGATCGAATTGGTACAACAAGATTAGTTTTAGTAGATGATAATAATATAGTTGAAGCACGTTCTCTCATTTGATTATTACTTGTATTATTTTTTAAACTATTTACTATTCGTTGATTACTTATTGAAGGAATAGGAATTTTATTTAAAGATGGTACATTCATATTTGATGCAGTTTGTTGTTTTGGTGTTAAATTTGTATAAATGATATACATAACAATTGTTAATTCAGAAGATGATGCTGGAGTTGTACGAGCAGCCATCCAATAAATATCCTTGTGATCACAATCGAAGAGATATTCATCCTAATATTTAAAAGATAAAATATTATTTGCTATTAACGAAAAAAAAAATATTTGAAGAGTGTGAAAGATGAAATTTTATTTGAAAAAGAAACAATCTTCGAGATTGTATCATCCTATTTTTTAAATAGACAAGAACACTATTATAATTTGATGAAAATATGAAACTTGGTATTTATCTAATTTTCATGTTGTGACTTTTTTTGGATAAGCCCAAACTATTTTCTGTTAAGATTAATTAATTCGATAGCTTTCAAAAATTTTAGTGTTGATCCTGATTTAGAAAAAAAAAACCTATTTCAGAATTTATTAACGTTAAATCTAATTGTGTTTTGATTAATTCAGCTGATGAGTGTTAATTTCTTTTTAATCATCTATCTTGAATAATGTGATTTGTAATATAATTCGCTAAGAATCATAGAAAATTTAATTAGAACTATTTGTTCCGATTCGAATAAATTTTTCTTCGTAATCCTGATCTCAGTTACCAAGACTTAAACTTGTCTAGCACGTTCCTACCCAAGCAGACAAGAACTCTGATCAGGGTGTTTATATGCGTTCTCTATTTAAATTGTTATAATTCGATTTTTTTTTTCACATGGACGAAACTATTTGTATCGTCTAAATACAAAGATCTTAAGAAGACTGTAAATTCTTTTCTAACCAAACTAACTTGAATTTCGTATTTCTATCTTCCAGAGTTTAATAGACTTTTACGATACGTTTAATACTAAATAAAGTCTCATACAGTATCACTTTCTCTAGAAGCAAATTTGAACAATTTTGAAAAAGTTCTATGTTCGTAATTGAATTTGTTGAAACATTTCTTTAATACGAATCGATTTATTCAAACAATTACTATGTAAGAAAAGCCAACTATCAAACGTTCGATATACAGTCTATTGCTTCTATCACATATAAATATTCTTGAAAGGTAAACAACAGTCATGAAATCTTGTGAATTCTGTTATTTTCCTATAGAATATTTTATAGATAATATGTCACAAAGAAAAAGAACCGAGCTCAATCAAATTTCAATCAATTATATCTTAATTACAAAAATTTCTTGTTTTTTTTTCTATGTATTTTCTTTAACAAACTTACAGAATTTCGTTTTGCAATTTGTATATTATATGTAGCTGCATGTTCAAGTACATATTTGAATAAATAAGCATCAGCTAAACGTTTACCAATATCAATTTGATGATGAATAACATCTATGAAAAATAAATTATTTTTGTTTTTTCAAAAATATTTATTTCATATATAAAATAAAATATACTTTTAAATAAAGCTGTTTTTGATCCAATCGGTGGAGTTGGATAAAATTCAATAAAGTCTTGTAAAAATGTAATTAATGAAAAATCTGTTGAAAACATTTGTGCATCATTTAAATTTGTTTGATAACGAATTATTGTTTGAAGATGAAAATCATAAACAAATGCATCAAGTTCTGTTTGTTCAAGAACACACAATGAATCATTTGAAATCTAAAATTAACAAAAAAAAAGTTCATTCGAATTATAAAGAAAACGATGTTTTTTATACTTGTCGAAAATGAGTTGCTGCTACTGATTGATTATTTATTGGTATTTTGATAATATCATATTGAAGAAAACGTAGAACAATTTCAACATTATTTAATGATGATAATTCAGCGAGTAAAGTTGTACGTCGATTATGATCAGAACGATGAAAATTATATTCATTGGGTGATGAAACATATGATGAACGAGCAATTCTTAAATTTGGATAAAAATAAATTTAGAAAAAAAAAAAAATCTTTTCTTTGTTTTTACTTTCGAGGATTTAATTTTGTATTTATTGGATGAAATTTATACATTGTTTGTAAATAAGTAGAAAATTGTTCAATGAATGATGTAGTTATTTGACTATATTGTTGTTCAATATTATTGAAACGATTTGAATCAAAACGTATTAATGAACTTTGAGAGATTTGATAATCACTCTAAATAAAATAAAAATTAACAAATTTTTTTAAAATTTTTATTGTTTTTATTAAGAAATTAGCTTTTATAGCAGCTGTCAATAATATATATGTATTTCTGATATTGCAGAACGCATAGAATAGTGATGTTAAAAAATGCAACCATTGAAAAATGTATGAATAAAAAGAAGCCCAAGATGCGCAGTTCAACAAGCAAATTCTCATCGACTATTGAAAAAAAAAATCATTAACTGATCTATCAAAATTTAGAATATCTTCTTAATGTCGGTATGCATATTGAAACTATATGTGAATAGAAAACGAAAAAGAAAAAGAGACAAAAGTATGTTAAATACTATAATAGATAAAGTTAGTAGTCCACACCAGTCAACAAAATTCGAGATATTATGATGTATAAATATCATAATAATTGTGAAATTTTACAATATAAAGAATGTGGATTGTGTAAATTATATCTACGCTAATATGTATGTATGTATATATATATATGTATGCATGTGAGTTAGGAAAAGGAACACACGAGTAGCGGCCACATGTGAAAAAAATGAAGAAACCTCATCAACTGATTGCCCAGATCGGCGTAAAGCAAAATCGACGGGAATGGCAACAGATTTGCGTTTATTTGCCATTCGACTAGCCGGTGAAACTCCAACTCTTGCTGCTGCTGCTGGTGTGGAAGCATCCTGAAAGCATAGACATTTACATGAACATTGCGCATGCGAAAATTTTTACAAAATAAACTTAAATTATTGAATAAAAAAAAAATGACTTTCTATATAATATTCAGAATAAAAATTACAATAATAAAAATAGCAAAAACAAGAGAAGAAGAACAAGAAATCAATTAGACAATAGCTCACCAAACAAATTGTATTATTTGTACGTAATGTTGAATTATTTTGAAAAAATTGTCGAGCAATTCGGGAGAAAAGTATAGATGCAACACCTATATTTAATAATCGTGAACGATGTTTCATTTGAGTTAACACATCATCCTTTAATATTAGAAGAAAAAAAATGAATTTTATAATAAAGTTTCTGTGTTTTTTTTTCAATCAACTAACTGCAATCGGTAATTTTGGTCGGAGTAGCCAATTCGAACAAATTTCTTCTAGTTTAATACATCGATCCATATCTAGATTATTATGAAAAAAAGGAAACAAATATTCAAATAATTTCATTTAATTTTGACATAAAAATCATGGTAGAGAATGTATCGATACTATATCAGACAAGAGCATCTCTGAAAACTAATCTTAAGTGTTGAAAATTTTCAAAAATCTATTATTCGGTTTTATATTATAGCAGTAGCGATTCAACCGATCGAGTTACATTTCTACCTGATAATGATCATTTTAGCACTACTCAAACGTCGTATGGTTATGGCTAGTTTTGAAGCGATAATGTCAGTATAAACATGTTGTAACACCTGGTTATTTGATATTTTAACTGCTTTTATCAGAGAACTTTTGAATGACGTAAAAGTCGGTTATCATCATTGAGAGAAATGTTTGAGGTCGAAACTATTTGAATGTAATAAAGATTAGCGTATTTATCACATTGAATCAATCACACATAGAGTTCTCGATTGTTCTTGAGGGTAGAAGAAGTTGAAGATTCGATAGGAAATATTTTACAGTGGAAATCGAATGAAACATTCTAAAGTCATCAGTTTTCTGTCATATATTCTCTGAGAGAAAGCATCTTTGTATGAATATTTTCCACAAAGTTCGACATTCTTGGAAAGAAAAAGTCTTCATTATTCTCTCCCTCACTATAAAAATGTCCTATAAAACGCAGCAGATTGATCTAAGTATCCTGTACCGATAAGTGAAAACATAGTTTTTCAATGTACTAATCATGAATCTTAATTTTTTTTTTCAAATAATATTCTTTATCTTATCCTTTTTCTTTTTCTATTGATACAATATATTTTAATCTTTAAGTCATTTTGTGAATTCAATTAATAGACTACACAAAAAAAAACAAAAACAAAAACATACGAATTTTTTTATTTTCTCTAAGTTGAAGTAATTGTGTTCCATGTCGTTGAACAAGATCTTGATTTAAATCATTTGATAATGATGGATATGAACCAACTAAATTACAATAAAGTAAATCAGTATTCCATGGCGTGTAAATATTTTTTGTTTTTGGTGGTAAAGTTTCTTTAATTAATTGTTCAATATCACCATGATCAGTTTTTATAGAATGCTGAAAAACAAAAGAATAATGATGATATACTTCAATAAAAACATCCTAAAAGAAAAAAAAAAGCAAACTTTAGTTGTTATTCCATGTTGTGCATGTTGACGATTATATTCAGAAGGTTGATCATGATTATATGATCGATAACGAAAAAGACCCATTTTTTGTGCTACAATTGAATTTAAAAAAGTTAAACGTTTATTTGACCAATTAATTAAATTTGAAAAATAATTTGTTAATAATTTAGATAATTCATCCGGTGCATTGTATAAAACCATTGTTAACTAAATATGAAACAAACAAAAAAAAAAAAAATGAATATTTTTTTTTTTTATTTTTAAAATCAATAATCTTAAATTGTTTGTTTTAGTTTTTTTACCTTTTTATCATTTGCAACAATACATAGAAATATTTGTTTCGGAATATCGGAACTATTTGCTAATGCCACTAAGAAAAAAAAAAAAGAAAATAATTGTTTGTTTCTTTTTTCTATAAATGATAAAATTATTTTGACTTACTTGAATCACCAGATTCTTGTTGAGGTGATGGTTCAGTACTTTCAATAACTACGTCGTTAATCATTTTAGTACTTTGATATAATACAATAAGATCAAGTTTATCACCAGGAATACGTGCCGGCTAAAAGTAAGAGAAATGTTATATTCAAGGATATCTTTCATTTCTTTTTGGAATTTCTAGAGAAACATTCATGAAAAAAAATTGAAATTTTTAGAGCAGATAGACGATGCTATCTTCTATGAGATATTGAAATTACAATGGCAAAAAATGGTCTCGCTGCTTTCTCTGAGATGTTATGCTCGATCGAGCTGAAAATTTTTTACAGGTACTAGACACTGGGACATATTCGGTCGGAGAGATGAGAATGTTTCTACACACTTTGTTTCATGAAAAAGTTAATTTGAGAAAAACGAGATTCGCTATTTCCGTTACGTGAATTTGACTTTTTAACGTTTAAATACATCAGGCTATACAAGAGCCATAAAAAAAAAACGAAAATTTTGGATTACGAAAAGTGGAGAGGGAGGGGGGTGTCTTAATTATTTCTTTATAGAAAGCCTATTAGCACAATCCTTACACGATTAAAATGATTAACGACGTAGTTATTNATATTCAGTAACATAATCATCTAATGCAGATGTAAATGCTTGTAATAATGTATTTGACATACAAGTCGGATCAATTTCAGGTTGACTACCACGTGCCCAAACATGACAACGAAGAATATTTTCGGAAATATCTATTGAAGGATAGTTTATTTTTATTAAAAAGAAAAAAGGCCGTCAAATTCAACGAACTATCTTCACTTGTTGGACTTATTGAAGAAGAAAGTTTTCGTTCGGTAATATGAATTAAATCAATAAGTGATGCAGCAGTTAATTCGTCAGATAAATCTTCTGTTGATAACGGACTAGGACGATTACTTGGATTTAATATATGTAATTCAATCCAGGCAAGACCTAAATGAAAAACAATAGTTTTTAAATATTTTTGAGTTTGTTTTTTTTGTTTTCGATATAATTACCTGGTCGAGGAATTCCAATATTATATGAACGATTATAAACAATTAATGTTTGTCCACGATAATCCTTTATTATTTCCTAATTTTATTCAGAAGAAAAAAAAAAACAAGAAGAGAATTCATTATTTTTTTTTTTCTAACTTTTTTTTTTTTACTTTAAGATCTTTGGCAAGTACAGGTAACAGAAGAGGCTGATGAAATTGATTTGTTTTAACATAACGTCGAAAATAATATAAAAATACATTTGTATTAATTAATGGTGAAATTTTATATTCAAATATATGTTTTGGTTCAATATCAATAGGTCGAATGAACTAATTAAATAATCATGTTGATTAGATTGTTTGTTTTATTTTTATAATTTTAATTTGAATAAAATAAAATACTTACAGTAACATCATCAGGATTTAAACGTGTCATTGCAAAACGATATAAAGCATTGGCAAGTTCTTTAACAACTTCATCTTCTAATCGAGTAACAATCAATTGAACAAGATTACTTTTTACAGTTTCAAATTTAGGATCAGTAGCTAATTGATCATAAAATATTTATTCAAGAAATTAAATTAAAATAAAAACTTACTAGCACACTGTAATCCATAGAGCATTACATGAATACAAAAAGTACCCTAGTATAAAAAAAAAAATTTAAAATAATAATCGATAGGTTTGACGATAGTATTATTTAAAATAAAGAAAAACTTCTTTTTTTTACTGATTTTTAACAAGTTTATAATAATATTAATGAGTTATGAACACTAAAAATGATAGTTGCATGAATATGAGACTATTCTATATTAAAGTTAGTATACATTGTCTAAGATTTGTAGTAGAATGTAATAATTAACAAATTTTCTATTATGAGAATTTTAAAAAGATTGAAATTTGAAATTAAAATATTCAGTTTATTCTGCCTGAAATACTACGACTATATGTGTCTTCATAGATGAATTAATTTTAATTTGATTTGAATATATATGTTTATCTATGTTTAATTGTCAATAGATGTTTTTTTTTCTCAGTAGGATCTGTATATGATTATCTATGGCGAGATTTATTTACAATACTGAGATGAGAATCATCATAACACATACTTTTCCAAATAATTAAAGAGAAGACTTTATTCATTGGAGAATCATTGATTTCATACAAAGTTGTCATCAGGGTTGCAATGATAATGGTAGATCACTGGTGTATTGCTCATGAATGTGCTGCCTATGGGTGGCTGGTTTTTGTTTTGAAATCACTCATTTATCCTAGCTTAAATCCGTCTGAATAATACAAAATAATCAGTCTCATCGTGAGTTTCTCACATATTTATTCCCTTTTGCCGATCTTTATGGTGATTATTACAAGTGTATTTCTACAAAATTCCCAATCTTGAAAAATTTTTGTCGTTCTAGTGTTTTATTGTTTTTTTTCCTCGTTGATCGATTTTCTCAGTCATTACTCCACCTAAATTCTGATGACTTTGAGATACTCCTTGTTATATGCAATAGAACAACTTCTCATCATTATTTCTATAATTTCATTCATAATTATGTATATATGACTAAAGTTCAAAAGTAAAAAATTTTAGTTTAAAACATATAAATATATCTTACTGAACCATGTCGTTGACGATTTTTTATAATATTATTGAAATTTGGATTATTTTGATTAGTTATTTGTGGTGATGGTGGTGCAAAAAATGTATTATTATTTTCACTAAGTATTAAAGAATCATCAACATAATTAGGTGTTGTTGGTGGAAGAGTATCTTCTCGAAATCTCATATAATAATTATTACGTTCACCACAATAAACAAATAAATTTTTTCTATTATGTATAGCTAATGAACCAAAATGGGTTGTTAATTCACGTATAAGTGAACCTAAAATTATTTAAAATAAAGAAAATTTTTTGTTTATTCTTCTTAGTCATGTTCGAATTAAAAGTATCGTTTTTTTTTTTTCTACCAGGATACTAACCAGATGATGGTTTTACATTTGATGTTGCCTGAAGATGTGGACGAAGACGAAAATGAAGTGGAAATGAATGTCTCCATAATTCATCACAAGCAAACTTTATCGAATGATATCAATTTTAGATGAAGCAAAAAAAAAACAACAACAACAGAAATTCTTACTGTGCCAGGTGGTATACTTAAATTCGCTGTTAAAACTGGTGCATCAGCATCAAGACTTGTATCATCATTTTCACTGGGTGGTACTAATAATGGATTACATAATAATGTTCCTGCTAAATTACTTAATAATAATTTCTAAATAAAATATAAAGAATATAACAAAGAGAAAAAAAAAATTGGGATATAATCAAACTTGATTAATTGTACGACATAATTGATTAAATTCATTAATTAATTCTTCTAATATTGCTTGAGGTTCACATGAATTTTGTGTTATATCAGATGATGATCTATATAATAAAGAGAAATTTTTTTTTTCAAAGAAAAAATGATGATTGTATAAGAATAAATGTTCGTCGCAATATTTTTTTTCGTATGTCGCTCAATTTTAACTATGCAGACTTGATCTTTTTTTATTTTTCTTTTATCCGGAAAGATATGCTATTTTATTCTAAATTACGAAAGAGAAAATGATCAACGCATATCTCAAGCATGAACATTTTCAAATTATGATCATTCGATAGACCTTTTTCAAGAGTTACAATATGCCTATCTTATCTTATTATTATTAATTGTACATATTTTGAAAAAAAATCATTCAAATCTATACCATGAAGATTGAGTGAAATGCTAAAACAATACTATGATACGATAGGTATTTATTCTGATGCATTCGTTTGTATTTGTTCATGAGTTTTCTTTTTTTTTTTTGTATATACCCGCAATAAAGATAAAATTTCACTTCAAGTAAATCAAGTTGAGATGATGTTTTCTTTTTTCGTTCAATAAAAAGCCAAAATGATGGTTTTATATAATCATCAAGTTCATCTTCGGTAGATTTTCTTTCATCATCATCATCTATTAATGAACCATCAGAAATAGAACTATCTTCCATAGTAACTGATGATTGATCATCATTTGAATTAACGGATAAAGCTTTTTGAAAATAACAAAACAAACTTAATGTCATTCATATTATTTAATAAAATCAAACCTGGTTTACGTTTTTGAATAATATCAGTTAATGATTGTTGACTTGGTTCAAGTAAAACAAAATAATTTCCACATTTTGTTAGAACATATTTTTCTTGAATACGAATATTTCTTAATTCCTAAGTTTAGAAAAGCATTTAAAAAAAGTTCTTTTTTTTTCTTTCTTATGAAAAATTTTACTTCAAGAAATGGATCAATAGATTTATCAATACCAAATACAAACATAAGATCGATTGAACGACAAAGACAATTTGATTTATGAATACTAACTGAACTTTGAACATGTTCAATAACATTTTCAATTAATTTTTTATCGAGTGTACGACGAGTAAAATATGTTGAAAGTTGTTCATCACGTAAAAGCCATTCGGTCTTAAATTCAAATTTTTGTTTTACAAAAAATATTTCATTCCAATGATATTCTTCTCAATTTATAGGAAATTATTATTTTTAAAAAAAAAAGTTAGAAAAATAATTTATTTTATGACGATGAACTTTTAAAATGTAAACTCATTTAAATACAATCAATAAAGATTCATTGAAATTAATAAGAAAAAAGTTAACTTTTCTAAGAGGTCAAATCAAAGAATAAACTTTTGTTTTTTTAAGTACGGTCAGAAATTTATATAAATTGCTTTTGAGATAAATCTTATTTTATCTAGTAGACTTTATCAACACTTGAGAAAGGCAGAAATGATACGTATCTATGGTTTTTGTTTTTCTTAAATGATGACTATTTTAATGTATGTTTCAACAACAGAATGTTTCCTTTAGATCATCTTTAATATTATATGCCGATTTTTTAGTTCAAATTTTATAGAAATAAAGTTTTCAACGATATTCGTTCCTTATGAAAGTATGAGACTTTCGACTATCTGCTATCTTCAAATAAGAGATAATATAAAATTTCATACTTTTGCAATGAACGAGTTTCATTAAGAATTTTATTTATGCAAAAAAATTGAAATCGAAACTTGAATATTGAGGTTTGACGTTGATCTGAGGCGGATCAAGAAAATTTGTTCAAAACTTTACTCTCGTAGTCATGACGGAAGAAAAATATCCACAGGTATGAATTTTTTTAGTCTCAATAGAAACTATCTAATAAGATAAGACTCATCTCTAAAACGATTTATCACTTAATAAAATTCTTTCGTAAAATGATTATATGTTTTATGGCGATTTTATCAGTCAAAAGCAGTTGCATAGTTTTTTTTCTTTTCTTTCTCAATTAACATTCATAACTCTTCCAAAAAAATTGCTTTAACATTTTTTAGAAAGAAACATAACTGTCATACACTTTTCATTATACAAATAAAAGTCTATTAAGATTATTTGTTTTATTATATTTAAATCAATTGATTAAATTTAATTAATACAAACCTCTCGTCGACATGAAGAAATTGCACGCCTTTGTGCATCAGATAATCGAAGTTTCTCCAAAGGATGTCTATAAATATTTCATAATATAAAATAAAAATTTTCTATTATTTTTCATTAATCTTAAAATAACAAACTTATTTAATTCTCCACCCATAGTTGTGCCTGTACAAGTACTTGTATTATCAATAGCGTCAATAGCATTTAATTCTTGAAATCTTTTTCCTGCTAAATATGGATTATTATATGTCGGTGTATGTGTTGTAATACCACCAACACTAGCACCTTGTGAATCAACATCTTCACGTCCAAATGTTAAACAAATTAAACCAAATGAAACACGTAAACTATCATCATCTAATTTTGATTCACATTCATTTGAAACTAAATTAACTTGAAAAAGAAAAAAGAAAATCAATAAAATACATGTATATATGTTTTTCTTTTCTTATTTCTTCTTACTTATACATAATGGAATAGTTTTAACTGGTGAATTACAATCATAATCTTTTGTAACTAATCGACAATCAAAACAAATAAATAATGGTAAAACTTCACCTCCAACACATAAATCTCTTGAACGATTTGATGCTGAACCTGATGATACATCAGAACGACGACGATTTGTTGTTAGTTGTAATTCAGGATCTTCATCATCATTATCATGTATATGAACTGTTCCATTACTATCTCGATCATTATCATCATCATCATCATCATTATCATTTTCTTGATCATATCCATTTGTTTCATCAAATTTATATGGTCCTGATGTTGATTGTAATTCATTATTATTGATATTATTGTTGTTATTGTTATTAGTATTATTATTATTTGTTGAACGATCTTCTAGTTCAATTGAATTACGACTTTGTCGAAAACGTTCTTCATCAGTACAAAAATAAAAATAATCCGAATCGGGTGATACACGATGAAAAAATTTATTAATAATTTCAAGAAATTTTTCATTTAAATAAGAATTGATATGTTTTGTTGTTGGTTCACAAAGAGTATCAAGTTCGAATGATCTTTAGAAAACAAAAAAAAAAGAATTTTTCTTTGAAAATTTCATGTTTTCCTCTTTTTTTTCTTTTTTACTTTTGTTCATTATTTGATAAATGTGAACACATTGCTCTAAGGAATGGTGTTAAATCAATATCTTCATAATGTTCTTGATAGATTGTACTTAATGCGTAATCAACATCAGAACGATGTGTTGTTAAATCAAGTAAACAATTTTTATAAAATGCTTAAAAAAAAGAGAATAAAATAATTTAAAATGATAAAGGCGAAAATTTTTTACCTGTTGCAAAAGTATAATCAAGTGAATCACGCATATCTTCAGTTAATTTTTCAGGAGGAAATGTTGTTTCATCATCATGTCGACGAGAATTATCTAATAAAACGAAATATTTTATTAGTTTATCATATGAAATTCAATGAAGATGTACAAAACTAAGTTTTTAGTTAATGTGACGCCAAGGAAATTTTTTTTTTGTTTTTACTTTTGATGTAATTCACTTAATTGTTTTAACTTTCATAGTTTTCATTAAATATAAAGGGGAATATCGAAGTATTCTTAACAACATAAACTGGATTAAGAAAATGTTGTTCAATTTTTCTAAATCGAGTTACAGAATTTTTCATACATAAAATACTAAGGTAGTGGAAAAATACTTTTATAATAATGTATTTTTTCTTTTCTTTTTTTTTCTTTAGTCTTAAGCAATTAGTTCAAAACCAGATAGTGATCTTAATAGCCAACAAAGTCTTCTAGACTAAAATTTCATAGATGAACTATGATGGCAAAGTTTCTAAAAAATTTAAGACGATAATTATCAGGTGCCAGAAGACTTTGTCAGAGCTATTTTTCACAATTCCATTTTTGGATAGTACTAAAATTTGAACAATATGAAGAGCCGTCACATTTTCTACGAACTTCCTTTAAAAAGTTAAATGTATTAAAAAAAACTAAATCTACCATAGTATTGACTAAACAACGTCGTTTCTCAGTTTTTTTGAGATCCTTTTAACTTTTGAGGAAGGTCATAATAAAAAAAATTTCACTGACTATTAAAATCATTATCTGGATTTGAGCTCTGGTGCTTAACATTATAGAAAAAGACGAAAAGATACATTGTTATTAAGCTTTTTCTGCTATCTTTGTGTAGCAAAAAAACTGCTAAGTACACATTTTGATCTTTTATTTGGCACTAAACACTTAACGAGTGAAAGTAAAGTGTCCTATGCAAAATTAAGTTTAGGCAAAATTACAAAATAATTTTCGTTTTCATTAAGAAAACATAGCACGTACTTACTCTTTTATTTTAACAAGATAAAATATTCATTTTTATTTATTTATATTATAATATATGCATCGATAACGTGTTTCGTGTCTACATGAGAAAATGATTTTCGAAAGTATTTTTATGAACAAGCGAATTAAATTTTTCAAATTTTTTGAAGTATCAAATTCCTAATGGAGACAATAATTATTCTACCACAGGAAATACATAAGCTAAAAAAATCCTTTATTTTTTCTTTTGGATGGAACATAACGAGCCACGTTAAATCTGAAGACAAATATGTATCGATAAAATAATACTACTCAACAAGCATAAGCTTAAAGATCTTTTCTTTTTTGTTGTTTTTGCTTAAGGCTTGCTAAGATAAACTAGATTTCAATTTAAATACATTCGCGAGCTTCACAGTTAATTAATAAATAAAAAATTAAAATAAGCATTTACCAGCTTCTTCCATAGTACTATTTTATGTAGAATGTATTAGTTGTTTGATTAGAAAACCTGAAAGAAATGTTTTCAATCCTATGCTATTGGACAGGTTGACGCGAACACTTGAAATTTGTATAATAAATATATTGTGTTAGATATCATTTTTCGATCTATATATATATTTATATATCAAAGAACGTTTTTCACAATTAAAAAGCTTATGAAAATTTCTTTAGGTCCGAACAATAATCTTATTCATTCTATTCTGTTCTCTTCCCTTTGAGTAAAACTCAATTGGAATGTATTTTAATAATAAATAATAAAACACAAACTTAGCTGAAAATTTACTTAAGCAAATGAAAATAATTTCTGCTAAAAATCGGACTTAGTGCGTGTATTCCTGATTGTAATACCTCGTTTTCGAGGTTTTAAATTTTGCAATACTGTTGCAGCTGTCGTTGCTGTTCCATTTGTTGAATCATTATCATCTTTTGTATAATCAATATAAGTATCACACCAAAGATTTCTTAATTGTTGTTCATTAGATAAAAGTAATGATGATGCTAAACGTAATTTATTACAACCATATAAAAATATTGGAATATGCCATTGATGCTCAGTAATCTTCTTAAAAGCATCACGTACCAAAATTTCTTGTGGTGATGCTGGAATAATGTTAAATGCAGGTGGAACTTGAAGATTATGATGATGAGCTGAATGATGATGAAGAGGTGGTGTTACAACAGCTGATGCAGAATAACGACGATATAATGAATCAATATGTGTTCCGCTATTTGTATCAACTGTTAGTGGAGAATATATACGACGATAACCAATAGGTGTTGGTTGAGAAGATGACTGATGAAAATTTTGAGATATAGGATGACTTATAGGAATTGGTGCTGAAGATGTTGTACTTTTACCATTGGCGAATGTTGCATGTGTACCATGAGGTACTAATAAATCACCTGACGTAACTGTATCTCGACGTGGACGACGTCGTTGTGAATGTTTATCTAAACGAGTATAAATATTATTCGTATAAAATGTAATCCGAAACTTTGTTCTAATTAATCCAAGAATCTCTAATATGAAATAATTGAGAAGTCTAAAGTATATATGAAAATAAAAGTTTCATCAATATTGATCAATGTTAAAGAAAATGACATTGAGAAAACTGATTAAGTAACAAGCAAATAGCATACTTTTTTTTACTTCTATTCAATTCGAAATGTGACGCTTAAGTTTTTTTTTCGTACTTTGTACTGTAACTGAGAAAAATTTTCTAACTCTTTATCTTATCCTAGGAAGTTTTCATTTCACTTTTCTTTAATCGTAGCCTAGTTGAAAGACTCTAAAAATAACAAATAGCCAAAACATTATTACGTTAGAGAATGTGTCGGAGAAACTCTGTTCGTACTCCGTATTCTAACAAAAAGAAACTTTCTAATTTCTATGGTGTACGATAGGCTAAACATGCTCATCTCTAATACAAGAGTATAGTAAGTTTTTTCTTGAGGATGAGAATTATCTGATCACATCTACGATGTACTAGGTAATATAATAATGCTCAAATATATTTCTTATATATATTGAAAGTTGAAACTATTCAATAGTAAAAATGATTTCATTTATTTCACGAACTTGTTTGTTCTTCATTAGCTGGATTCTGTGATTTTTCCATTGTGGACAATAATAATGATGATTCCCTATTTTGTTCAATGGTATCTATTAAACCATCCATAATATGACGACAATCATCATAAATAGGCATTCCTTTATCAATATGAGTCATTGAATAATGTGCAATAAGATCATGCATAAGTATATTTAAATCAGTATTTAATAAAAGTAAATCACGTTCACTTTTTGGTAATAATATCATATAAACATATTCATCATTTTCAGCACAAACAAGAAAATCCCAACGTGGAAATAACATATCAATAAGATAACGTTCAAGATCAGTTAATACTGTAGTTGTTTGTTGTTGTTCATTATAATTAAGTAAATAAAGTAAATATGGATTTGATTTTAAAGTATTTAAACCAATTGGTAGACGATGAGTTTTTGAATGATTTGATCGTGATATTAATGTACGTGTAAATGTATTATTATTACTATTAAGTTCAGTAAATAATTGTGGTTTATTTTCATATGTTTTTGAACAAAGACGTTCACGCAATACACTAAGTAATGTTGAATTAAGACTTGGTGATACAAGTGAACCATCATTATTAATATAATCATGTTTTATTTTAAAATAATCTAAACAATAACAAAAACAAAAGAGAGAATATTTAATTAGTTTATATGATTTTTCGTCTATTTTTTTACCATCAATAAAAGCAGAAAAATCAAAATGTGTTTGATGTGAACGACGTATAAGATTAATTGTATCTTGTATAAATGGTACTCGAATTATATCAGATGTTAACGCTCGTGGTGCACGTAATATAGGTCTATTTATTAAAGAAAATTATATTTAAGCAAGAAAAAAAAACAAATGTATTTCATTGAATAAGAAAACAAAAAATTCTACCTTGGTAAAGATAAACTTCGTTCTTGTAAATATTTGACGAAATAAAATGAAACAAGTGTATTGAAACATTCACGATCAACTTCACCAATCTAAATATTTCATACAAATTTACTTGTATATTAAGAAATAGATATTTCTAATCAAATTTATAATGAAACTTCGATCATTTTTTGATCTATCAGATTTCTAATGTTGATATAATGATGTCGAAAGTGTATGTAGCTAGATTTGATCAATCAAAATAATGGCTAGTATTTAGTTTTTTACTATGCATTACAATGAAACAGACACGTGTGTCTATTTAGAATAGTGTAATTCAGATTAAAATACTCTGCATATTATTGAGAAAATTATTTGAAAAATTAAACTTCGACAAATCTTAAGACTGATAATGCTCTTTTATTCAATCTTTTTCTTTATTCATTATGATAGAATATCCTTTCAATCATTCATCATTAGAACACATCACACAAATAAAAGTATCTTGAGATCAATCAAATTCAATTTTATCTTCTATTCATAGAAGTATTAGTGAATAATTCTTACTGAATAAGATCAATGAAAATTTTTCTTTCCGATACTTGACTTTATAAACTAAGAAGCCATTCAATATACAATCCGCGAATATTAACAAAATTATTTATTTTTTTTTACAAAACAAAAAAAAAAGAAAAACTTTAAATTAAATTCTATTCAAAAATAAAACGAAGTAATTTTTCAATTGAATTATGTTTTATTTCGTTTGATTATATTGATATTTATAGATAAAAGATTCTTTTTTATATGAAATGATACTAAAATCAAATCAATTGATATAAATGTTTGAATCTTGGTAATAGAAGCCATAAATGTGTATCATTGTTCTTCATTTGTCAGAATGATGAAGCCATTAATATATTGACTAAAGAACAGTCGTTTATTTCTGCATAGTCATCATTACACTTCATTATCATCATCATCAATAAAATAAGAAAAAGATGATACGAACGACTACAAAGAAGTGGAGGAGTTGAATCTCACCAATTGCTGGTGTTCAGGGTGAGACGAACTGCTCCACTTAGTCGAGTCGAGTACGCAAATAGAGCAAGAAAACATAATTGTAAATATAATATAGCAAAAAAAAAAAACAATATTGTGAGCCTAAAAAAAACAACAAATGGGTCTATTCGCACACGATAAGGTTTGCTCTATTCGATCATTATTATGATCAAGCTCAAACTTACGAACGAACGGCTGTTGTTCTCACTCAAGAACGTGAAGAGTAATCAAAAAAAAAAAGAAGAAGAGAGAACAAGGAAGAGTCGTAACATACATTGCCGCCTTCATTTACCACTTTTTTTCTTCGTTTTTTTTTCGTTCGTCTAGATGTGCTTTTGTTTTCTCCCTGAACTTTACAGCTGTTGATAATCTGTTCGTGTGTATGTATGCTCGCGTAAAACGTGCTCTGTAGCGAAATTTGACTACACATATAACACGAAGAACGATGAGGGAATTTCGAGTGGAGCGTGCAAGAAACTCAATCTGAGCTCGATTCTTTCTCTCTTTCTTTCTCTTGTTCGTTTTCGATCATCGAAGGAGGGAAAGTAAAGACAAATTGTGCGTATAACATTTATATATATACATCGTCAATATAAAATTAGAATTTGATTTACTATTACTCCTCCCTGAACAATGTCATGATGATAAGAAAGAGACTGTCGATTATACCTGATGCCTTTGAAAATAAAAAGAATGAGATAAAAGAACAAGAATGATTCTAATTGAAAAAGAAAAAAGAAAAACCTACTCAATAAAAATGATATAAGGGAAAAAAAAACAACGAAGTATTAAAAACTGATTGAATTCGAATTTTACTTGAGCTCTCGGCTTAGTTAAAGGTCGTGCAATAGAATAAAGAATGAGACTTACAATATATATAAATATATATATACATACATGTATATGTATATAAAGAAGAAGAATTGATGATGACTAGTGACTTATTGATATGAGCTGGAAGAATATAGATCTGGCATTCAGAAGACATCCATGCGAAATCCATCTTCCAGCTAATATACAATTAAGTGAAATGAAAATTTTTTTGTTTCTATGTAAGTAGTATGTTTGACGAACAAGAAAAAATGAATATATGAAAATTTGCTTGTTGTAAACTGCTCATTTTATATACGAAACAAAAAGAGATGATAAGAGAGAAAAAAAAATGAGAGAGTCAAATATATTCAGCGGGTATGCGTATTGGTTGAAAAATTCTTTTACGCGTTTTTTTTTTTTTGTTAATGCAAACATTGTTATCCGTTTTCGTTATGTTGATATAAGTTTAAAGACAAAAAAGAGAAACTTTGACGACAAAATGTCTTATCCAAGAAATGAAAGATAAAAGTAGAAACTCAAGTGTTCCTATGTATACGAACAGGTAACTTTTATCCCAGGGAGAAGAGGGCCCAAAGATAATGATGATAATAATGATGATGATGATGATGATGATGAAATGAGAACAACCGACATGATCAGTAGATGAATTTGAAAATTTCTTTGCCAAAATCAAACTTTCGATAAGATTACATTGTTATTAAATTCGCTTTATTTTCAATGATTAACGATTGATATGTACTATCTTTAATGTTTGATATTTTATAGAAGCGAAAAAATTTCTCACATACGTAAGAGATAAAAATTAAGATTATTGTTTATTCACTTTCATTAATGAGTTAAGATGAAAAATATTCAGTTACATCATATTAACTTTAGACTTTGTTTATTGATGAATTACAAATGATAATCATTCATTTTTTTTTTTAATATTCTTTTGTTTTGTTTTCAAGTACTTTAATTTTTTATATCTACTGTTTGTATTAAGTCAACATACATGTACTTGTCGTTTGTATGTTGTTTTACACTACTATACAAAAGAGATGATGATTGACGTGTTCACTCTCGTGATTACTAAGAGAAGAAAAGATTTTATTCTTTTTTGTTTTCAATCAAAAAACGATCTATGAAAAGTCATTTGATTAGACAGACGTACTTGAAAAAATGTCCTTAAATTAATAAAAACATGTAAGCTAACCTTATCAACAATTTGTTTGTAAGTGCATTGATTAAGAAATTCAAGTTCAGGACAATTAGTATCAACAAAACCATCTTGTGGTTCAACCCAACATTGAGTTAGAAAATAGTAACATGTTGGTTGATCACAATAAATACTTGATGAACGTCGTACTGATGTTGAACGATTTTCATGTGAGTTATTTCTAATAGAAAAGATAAAGAACTCTATTAATTCATCAAATTTTATAGAAATTATTCAAAATATTCTTACGTATCAGCTACACGACTACATTCAACTGGATAAATTCTATATTGTACAAGACATGTTCGTGCTCTTTCATCAGGATACAAATTAATAGTGGAGTTTAATCGAAATATATCATTTGAATATTCTTCTTTTGGTGTCTGAAAAAAATAAGAAAAAATTACTTTCCATAAACAAAAAAAAAAAAAAAAGACAAATTCATACATTCATTTTAACTTCAAGGACAAGATTATGTATATTATTATGTGTTGCGACAAAATGAAAACCTTCTTGAAGTCGTCGTCTAAAAATAAAAACAATTTATTTAAAAAAACAATATATTTGATTTCTATTTAACCTTATAAATGTATCAAGTATAATATCTGCTATACGTTTAGGAATATTTGATGAATGTTTTATACTTTCAAATGAACGTACAAATGTACGTATATAAAAAAATTTCGATAAAGCTTGTCGTTTTGAATCTAAATCTGTTCGACTTTTATTTTGCATATCATCTTCATCAGGTTTTGAAATACCAAGTGATTCATATGGAAATGGATCTGATCTGAAACAAAATTTTTTTTTTGTTTGTTTTTAAATAATTCTCTTAATCTATTTGAAGAAGAAAATTACCTGAGCATTAATCGTTCAATATTTTTATTTAGAACAACACAAGATGGTGTTGTTGGTATTCGTTGATGACTTGAAAGTGTTGATGATGTTAATGATCGTTGACTATTATTATTAGATGAAACAGGTGTTGATGTTTGTTGTTTACGATTATTTTCATTAGGATTTCCAGATTTCATACGTGAACGTGGTCGAAGACGAATAAGATTACATCGAAAATCTTCCATTATCTAAACAAAAAAAAAAAATTATAAAAACATAATTTTTTTTTCTTTTTTGGATTATTTGTTTTACTTTATGTCGTTCAACAGTTGTTGCTTTTGCTTGAAAAGCAAATTTAAGATAGAGTAATGGAGGTTGTCCCATAATACGTAATAACATAAAACTATATGGAATATTATCATTATTATCACGTATAAGAAATTTAATATAAGCTTGACCATCAAGAAGAACAAACGAAAAATATTCGGATAAAAATGATTCAAAATCATTTTTTGCTATACGACATGAAAATGTTGAATGATGTTGATTGTGTGATTGTGATAAATGATTATTCATAAGAAATAATGAATTTGAAAGTGGATCATTTACTAAGATTATTGTTAAATTATGTGTATACATAAAACGTTGCCTATAGAAATGAAAAAAAAAACAGAGAACCGATAAATCAAAATAAAACATGCTTTTCGTACCATAATGATCCATCAAGTATAACAATTGGACGCCAAAAATCAGCAAATGCTTGAAGTTCTGTATCCCTAGAAGAAGAAGAAAAAAAAACAAAGAATTTTTCACGTATATAGCAAACGAAAATAAGATTAAGAATATTTCTTAGGTGGTCAGTTTGAATTTCAAACAAGAAATTCATCAAACTTACTTAACATTTAAAAGTGTTTGTTGTAAGTCATTTTGTGTCAAATAAAAAATAGGTTTTCCACGTTTAATCGTTTCAGGCACACGATAATAAGATGAATCTCGAGCAAAAGTATTAATTAATGTTAGATGTCGATCGGCTACTGAGACACTAAATAAAAAATTTCAAATATCATATAGAAAAATTTGACAAAACAAAGAGAAATCCTACGTTTGAATAACATCATTATATCGTCGAATAAGATTATTACGCATAATATTAAGAGCTTTTGATGTTTGACTATAAGATAAATGATTTACTTCTTGAAGAAAATAAATAGGTGCTTCTTTATAAACTCGTATATCTGTTCTTATACTCTTTTCAAGTGGCCAAACAGAACGAGCTGTATAATAAATTTGAATATCATAACGCCATGGTAAAACAAGATGAACTTCAATTTCATCTAAAGTAATAAATTTACAAAAAAAAAGAATTTATACAAAAAAAACAACAACAAAAACCTTTTTGAATTTGAACACGTCGAACTGCATAACCTTCACGTAAACGTAAAGAAAGAACGTTTTCTAATGATGTTTGAAGAACAGTTTGATTAACTAATCTGCATGATATTGGTAAACAAATTGCATTTAATTTACTAGAAAAAAAGGACATAAGAAAATAAATTTCAACTCAATCATTGAAAATTGATGATCGTACTTATTTCGATTATTTTCATCATCAATACTAGATGTTCCATTCGATATACGTTTTGATAATGATATATTATGTTCGCTAAGAGCTTTATGAAAACCTAAATCATGAAAAGAAGTTGATTTGTATAAATAAAAACAAAAAACACCTATTTCAATTTTACCCCATGATAAAAGTTCATTTTGAAATTCATTTAATAATTTGCATTCATGAGAAAATAAACGTGTTAATAATGTTGATTCACCACGACTACTATTATTAACATCAAAATATATAAATGAACCAAATGTCGATAAACTAATAAATTTTAATAATTCTTCATTTGGTACATGTCCTAGACTAGCTATGGGTGCATTTATAACTTTATTATTTGTTGATTGTTGTCGATTATTATTTGAACCAATTTGAACAAATGAACAACTTATTATACGTGCTCGTATTTGTCTCATAACAACTTCAAATGCTGATAAATTTGGTACGTCAAGTATACCATCAGTTATGATAACTAATACTGATGTTGATTCTTCAGGCATTAATTGTAAAGCTGTTATACCATAACTAAGCATATTTATAATAGCACATGATGATTCACTATTTGAATAAATTGTATTTAGCTAGAAAAGAAAAGAAAAGATTTCAATATTTAGTATTGTTTTTTTTTAGTAAATCATAAAAATTTTACATGTGAATTAATATTATCATCGGAATCGATTGTAGATGATGTTGAATGTGTATTAAATGTTTTATTAATACTGATAACATTATGTAGAAGTTCAGTAGCTTCTTTTAAATTATTTATTATATCAAGACAAACAGTTTCTAATGTTGACCGAGTTAATCGATACCCTTTTATTTAATAAAAAAAGTAGGAAGATATTATATTTTCTAGGTTTTTGTTTTTTTTTCTTTACCATGTATCAATACTTGATGACTTGGTGTACGATGTAATGGAAAATAGACATAAACAGATATATCTATTTCGGGTTGAAATTTTAAATCACAACCCGGTAATGAAAATGTTTGAGCAAGAGAATATAAAAGTGTACATAGACAATTTGTTAATGATTCTAAATAGATATGATCACCATCAATAGATACTGATGCACATGAATCAGTCATATCAAGAATGAATGCAAATTTATAACGTGTTGTAAAATAAGAAAAACGTGTTGAACTAGTGCAGATAATATTTGATGATGGTGGTATTGGTGTACCATTATTGTCTAAGGCCGAGACAAGGACTATTTCATCGGATGATTGTGTCTAAAAATAAAATATTTTATATTTGAGAATGAGTATTTAAATAACTAACAATTTCTTCTGATGTTGGAATGCACACTAAATTTGATGGAGAAGCAGCTATTTGTTGAAATTGCCAAAGAGCTCGAGTATTTCGTGAAACTCGATAATTCCGACGAAGAAAAGCATATACTTGACTGGCATGAGTTGGTGTCGGCATATGAATTTTAAATAATATAAAAATAGATAAATATTTGATGAAGTTTTTAATACTTCGTAATATTCATATTATAAAGATACAGAAAAAAAAGGCATCTATTCATTTATTTATCTGACATCCGCTTCATCAAACCAATACGAGTCTTTGAGTCCATGTTTTACTCGTATTCTTACAAGACTGAATTTACTATCTGTAGCTGTCGGTAGTCATCAGTAGATCAATGATCTTTTCTTTCGGCTATGATAACAAAGAGTGTGGGTGTGGGTGTGGGTGTGGATAAATAGATCAGGACATCAACACCCACTCCCACATACACGCACTTCCCACTTACATCCTTCAATGACGTACTACTGAATTACTAATTCTTTAACGAAAGATAGCAGCTCGTTTTTATGAAAAGAAAATTAGTCTTGGACGTTGAGTGGCATAATTTATTGCCGAATAGAGTATCATGCTTCAAAATCTACATAACATACTTGTGATTAATCAGTCTCAATAATCAAAACAATGTCGAAGAAATTCATATGATTACTTTTTAGTTACGATTCAATCAGATCAACTGAAATTTATTTGCTCTTTAAATAATATTAGAAGGAGAAATTATGATCGATTATTAAAATGTTTGACACACAAGTTTAAATTGATCAATACAGTAGTTAGAAAGATTACTGTAACAAAAGCAGATACTAAGAGTAAGAGTAAGAGTAAGAGTATATGCATATAAATGACTAAATCGGATTTTCTTTTTCAAATTCTTTGCAATCGTATAGTTGTCCAAATTGTCATGATTGTTATGATCAAGCAACACTGTGCGAACAAAATTCAAAAGAATTGATTTCACAACTAAAGTGAAGATGCTGTCACATAGCTTTTTTTATGTAGGACAGTGTCATTGTTGAATCAGCGAATACTATTTGTTCTAAAGTAAACAAAAGTATTTTACAGAAAAGATGAATTTTGCTAGGTTTATTCAAAAAAGTTAGAAGTGTAGATTCTTGTCGTGATTTACAACTACATAGTACAAAAATCAAGCATTAATGACCATCGATTTGAAAAATGGATTTATTTCGATTGTCGAAAATCGGACAAAAAAATATTAGTAAATAATCTATAGTTTCTACAAAACTCAAAACATCATTTTTCTTTATGCGTCATCATAGGAATCAATGTATCAAGAACTGGTGAGTATTCCAAAACAATTTTGTGAATCTTTTCTTTCGTTATTTACAATTAATTATCAATTGGAACATGATGATGAGTTGTTTCAACAGAAACCAGGTCTTTCGATGTAATATATAACTGACTGACTTAGCTGAGCTACTTTATTTCTTTAGGTAAGAATGCTGACGATTTCCCATTTCTTCGTTAGTCTTGAATTGATGTCGATAGAGAGTTTGGAGAAATAATTAATGCGAATCGCATTGGATTCGAAAAGACCTTTGTTACTAGTATACTACTCAACGTTATACATTTGGCAAAGATTTCCGGGTACATCTATTGTCGAATCTAATAGCATTCGAGAGCATCTATTTATCTGGGCGGATGTCAGTATGTGAGTGGAGGTGTGCGAGTCTCAGTTCAGCTGTGGGTTCTTCATCTCTTCATTATCCTTACACCCATATCCACAACCACCCACACCATAAGTGCAGTTTTATGTAAATTATCTATATCTAATGAAATGTATACCGGTATCACATGATAAAATAAAATACATAATTATTATTACATAATAAAATTATATAATACAATGCATAATAATAATCATAATATAGCTTTCAGATCCCAAGATGTATCATCCAGAGTTGTAACTGCTAATCGTAAACGACCATCCCAGCCCGGTAGAGACTTTCTTGCCGATCAGTCTGGATGTTTTAATAATTTTTGCAAACTTTTTATCAAAAAATTAGCACAAAAATGGGTATTTTCACAAATCAAAAATTTTTACTGATGTCGAAGATTATATCCGTGATGAAATACGCATCAAACTATTGTATTTAGTTAAAATTCATCATAGAATCCTCATTATACTTTCTCAACTTGATTTGATATGAAGTCAAGTCATTGAAAAAAAAAACTGAATCATTGTTTTGCATGGTAGATTTTCATACATTTTTTTTTGTGCTTTGTACTTGTATAGCACATATTTCACACAATCATAAGACGTAGAAAGGCGAGTATAACGTGAAAGACATGTTAAGTATATAGTTAATGAAAAGTGTGAATATCTGAAGACTAATTAAGTAAAGCAAAAAAATTCATATGGAACTTGTAGTCCTTTGATGTTTTTTCCACCAATAGATGCCTATAAAGAGAAAACACGAAAATAAATACTAACAAATACTGTAGTCTTGAAGCAGTTCTTTTATACCATTACCATATTGATTAGGAGGAAGGGTTAACTAATTCAAGGACTTATTTCACTGTTATAAGGTCAGAAAAAAAGAATGATTCATGCCGACACCAGTAAGAAAAAATCTTAACGCTTTCAAATTCATGTTCTGGGTACTCATGTACATGAACAATGACACCATTACATGGCAATGCAATCTATTTCATAAATTTTAATGTATTGTTTTGCTGATAATAGGTTCTAGTGCATTATTTGCAAACGTAATGCATTAAAGTCCGTGACATAGGTTGCATTGTAGAGATCAAAAGAGAATCCGAATTGAATTTTTGAGAAAGCATGTCTAGTTGAACAGAATAGAATCTGAATGAAGGTTTTTTCATTCTTTTTAGTTTCTGTTGCATTATCATGTAATTGCATCTATTATCTTCATGGTGACTACATGGATAGTCTTTTTAACCAGATAGATGTCGAAGGTGTCTTCGAAATTGCTTGCTAAAACTCTCAGGAATAGGAACAACTTGCAGACTATACTATAACCATTTTTATACCACCCTTACACTACAATACACTATGGACTTTCTACCTTAACTCTACCCTGAAGAACTATGTTTTGTTGATCTTGAATTTTTCTACCTCAACACTCAAAAGAAATCATTCTCATCCAAGGGGGAAACGGCGGATTTCGGATTTCCGGGATTTCCTGGGATTTCCGGGATTTCTATGGAATTTTTGGGATTTCCATGGGATTTCCGGAATTTCCATGGGATTTCCGGAATTTTATGGGATTGCCGGGATTGTCACGGGATTTCTGGGATTTCCATGGGATTTCTGGGATTTCCATGGGATTTCCATGGGATTTCCGGGATTTCCATAGGATTGCCCGGATTTCCGTGGGATTTATAGAACATTTATAATAATAATTTGCAGTCCCGAAATTCATATAGGATCTGTAAGATGTTAGTTATAGTTGTAAAAATCTCATTGGAGTCAGAGTCAGGGCTTCGTTGCTCTATAATACAGTTTAAAAAGCTGTATTGAGCTATTGAGACAATATTGTTTATCTTGAAAGTTCTAGACATTTAACTTTATGAGATGATTATAAAGTCAATTTTTAAAATAGAGTTGGTTACTTTCATATTTTTCTCGCAAAAATGCATCAGGCAGAATAACAAAGAGCAACGAGACGTTAGACAAATCAATGAGCAATAGAAGAGATGCACTGTATCTTGTGAATCTAGAGCATCTCATCCGTAACTGTTTATTCATTTAGTAATCTGATGACAGAATATGCCTGAGCCAATTAGATAGCAGCGCAATCGTTCTTTCTGACATAAAACAAGAGGCTTTCTATAGAGGACTGTATTGTTGTTGACATCAATTTCGACACCAGAAAAAAAGAGTTTCAGAGTGAAAGAGAAAGTATCTCCGAGACTCTTATGAGCTGAAGTTAAGTTTTATTGCTAACTGACAAAGAAGAGAAGTCATGAATTATGCCCTACGATCAGCTATATTTGTCTGATTTCAATAAAAAAC